CTGGAACAAACTCCCAGAAACCTGCAGGTCCGCTGCAACTCTTACTACTTTTAAATCCAGGCTGAAGACTTTTCTTTTTGTCACTGCTTTTAATTGAACTATTCATATCTTAGACTGCACTGTAACTTTTATCCATGTATTTTTTCTTTTAATGTTTATTTTATTAGCTTTTCTTTTTAATGACTGATTTTAAATGCAATTTTTTTAAATGTCGTTCATTTTTTGTAAAGCACTTTGAATTGCCTTGTGTTGAAAAGTGCTATATAAATAAACTTGCCTTGCCTAATAAAGATTTCATGTGACACATACAATTGATTTGTTGATGGGAATTAATGTGAATAAATTAACTCTAGGTTAACGGTACTCTTGCTTTCACTACTCACCGACACTATAAACCTTGTCCCTCATGCTAGCCCTGACAACACCGGTAAGCACACCTTCATCTAGGCTGCACTGTTACGTGTCCTGACTTGTAGTGGTTCTCTCCTCTATCTACACTCTTCTTGTCATCTTTGTAAAACGATATCAGACTGGTAATTGACACAGCCATGACTTCTAGTTAAATTCAGTGTGGCTAAAATGAAAAGCTTTGTTAAAATATGCAAGCACGCGAAAGTCAAATTCAGCTTTATTGTCAAAAATTCTACATGTGTTATACATCCAGAAATATCGTTTCCCACAGTGTGACATATATACATAAAACAAAACAAAAAGGGCCTAGATAAACGTGGTATACATTAAACAAAACAAAAAGGGCCTAGATAACCGGGGTATACACTTTAAAATGTTAATATATTTAAAGTGTTCAAAGTGCAGTTTCAGTGCAAGTCAGTTGAAACGATCTTAAGTTGGCGTGACGTTGAAGTCGTGCGACCCTGCTGCTGCACTGGCTTGTAGTTCGTTTATAGCATAACGTTAGCATTTAGCTTTTGGCGACTAGATTTATGATTCAAAAATTATAAAAGTAGGGTTGACATGTGGAGATTATCCGGCTGAAGAAAACGTGATCCCTCTCTTAAATGTGTGTCAACCACAGACCTTATTTCGAGCTATTTTCCAAAATCCTATGGAGAATTTGCATTGGTTTTTCATGAAGGAACCGGAAGAAGTTTACTTCCGGGTTTTACGACGCGTCACTGCGGTTCTCTATAATGCCTCCTACTGGAGTTTACGACAAACAGTTCTCAATTCTGGCCACGGTACATTCCTTTTTGTTATTGGCTGCTCTCACTGCCATATCCCATTTGAGCTAACTGTCATGACATACATTTCGGTCACAAGCCAAAATACAAAAAGTCCTGATTTTTCTTAATGTACAAAAAGAAAAAGTACTCATTATGTAAAATGGCCCATTTCAGATTAATATGAATTTCAATAGTATTATCAGCTAAATGTACGTTAAGTATCCAAAGTTAAAGTACTCATTATGCAGAATACGTTTTTTCACCGGATTACATTTTATTACATTATATTTTTATTATATTATCATGTTTTATACATGTAAGAGCGCTTTAGTATTGTAGTTGGTCAATATGGACCACATTTTAAATACATAAGATACCAAATTGGTAGTACAGTACTGCATTACATCATATCAGCATATCATGTGTTTTTATCTACAAAGTAACTGAGCGTTAAATAAATGTAGTGGAGTCAAAATATATTTGCCTCTGAATTGTACTGGAGTAGATGTATAAAGTAGCTTTTTAAATAAGTAAAATATAAGTATGCCAAAAAGGTATTTAACTACAATACTTGAGTAAATGTACTTGTACTGTTACTTTCCACCCCTGACCCTAAGAAACTGTTATGTAGCACATATTCATGACTATTGTGTAGTGTAGTATGTTCTGTTTCACAACAATAATACCATAGCGTCGTGTCTCCACAGGTGGAGGAGGCTGATGATTGGCTGCGTTACGGGAACCCCTGGGAGAAGGCCCGCCCCGAGTACATGCGTCCGGTCCATTACTACGGACGAGTGGAACACACCGCTGAAGGAGTGAAGTGGGTGGACACACAGGTCAGTGGAAACACACACCAGAACTAACCTTTCATTGAAAATGTAAAGGGCTCAGGGAATGAAATGCAACTCTCATGTGATGGATATAATGCTGTCAGATTACATATGTGCTATAATTTGAACAGATTCAAAGTTATTAATTAGTTTAACGATAAATTTATAATTTCGTATTCAAAATAATAGTAAATACTGTCACAGTAAAAGTCCTGCAATCAAAAATGTTTCTCAAGTGAAAGTATAAAAGTATTATCATCAAAATATAGTTAAAGTACCAAAAGTAAAAGTAGTCACTGTGCAGATTGGTCCATTTCAGAATAATATATATGATTTTGAGTTTTATAATTGTTGATGCATTAAAGTGTTATCAAAGCTGGTAAAGTTACAAATTGAAGTAAAGTAACAAGTACCTCAAAATTGTACTTGAGTACAGTAGATGAGTAAATGTACTTGGTTACTTTACACCACTGGAAGATATATAGTGAGCATTACATTTAACAGTAAATGCAAAATGAGGAAAAATAAAGGTTAATTAAAAAATAATGGGTAACGACTGTCATCTTTTTAAAGATTTTGTAACCAAGTATCGCATCCTAAGTAGCATCCAAGAGGAAGCTAAGGCCCAACAGAAACCAATCCTTCTCATTGTACTAATGAACTAATGAAATACCAGTGTATTTAATATATTATTGTAATTGTGATTCAGGTGGTTCTGGCCCTCCCCTATGACACCCCAGTCCCCGGCTACAGGAACAACATCGTGAACACCATGAGGCTGTGGTCTGCTAAAGCCCCCTGTGACTTCAACCTCAAAGACTGTTAGTATGGTCATCTGTTCTGTTCCTCATTGACAAACAGTAAATACATGAACATCCACTAAGTATGAATCCAAACTTTGTCCTGCAGTTAATGTTGGCGGCTATATTCAGGCGGTGCTGGACAGGAACCTGGCTGAGAACATCTCCAGGGTTCTCTACCCCAACGACAATGTGAGTGGATCCAACCGTTTGGCTAATTCACTTTAATCCAATGTAGGGGCTTATTTGTATGACTCCTATCTTTGATCCCATTATGCTCACAAATACAAATACTATGGTCTTTAAAGACTTCATTTTAATTAAAAGTCCTGAATTAAAAATGTTACTTGAGTAGAAGTACAGAAGTATTATCAGCCAAAAAATACAATTTCTAAACTGAAGTACAAGTTTGTCAAAAGTGTACTTGAGTACCCGAGTAAATGTACTTGGTTACATTCCACCACTGTTGATCAGTCAGATGATCAAGTCAACAGTTGATCCAGATATCTAACCCTATTTAAATGAAAGTAAGCACATAACTGAAATGTTGCTCAGAATACCTAATTTCACAGGAAAACTGTGTAGCTCTAGAATCACAATCACAATCAGAAAGAGGTTTATTGCCAGGTAGGGTCACACATATATGAGGAATTTGACTTGATGTCATGGTGCAGACATAAAATATAAAACAAAAAATCTTTAAGGACACCGTAATCAAATATAGTTAAATAGCAATAAAATAAAGCAGTAATTTACATTGAAATA